GTGACTTCCCATCAGCTTGCTTCCATTAAATGACCTCAAAACTGAATGACTTCTCCCAGAACAAAGAAAAATACCCAAAACAAGGCCCACCCATCCTTTCTCCAACATCATGTCTTTCTGAAGAATTTCATATGTTGGTGCTTGCCTTACCCCAGCCTGTAGTTTTGGCATCATTCTCCACGACTAACACTGTCTCCCTTCTTAAAATGCTTTAGGGTCCAAAAATCCTCAGATGACCAGGAAGGCATTTATAGCTAATAATTAAATGTCCCTTTTGCAATTTAAACTTGACTTCTTTGTACCTTAACTTCGGGGCCAATAACGTTGAAATAAATTTCCAAGGCTAAATGGTCCCACTCTTGTCCAGGTTGCCACATCAGTAGACCCAACTTCTGTGATCCGTAAGTGTCTCACTTGACCAGAAATGCAGCGTAGCCAGTTAGCCAATCCCCAAAGCCCAAGCCAACTCTGGGCTCTATACTTATTTTCTTGTGCCTTGGTCTTTCTAAATAAGGCCAGATATGCCACCCTAGTTGATCATGCCCTGTTTCTGTGTTGCTGCTTCTAATGCTTTGTATAACTTGTTCCTGTCCCCAAATCCACTGGGAATAGCATTCCCCTGCTTATGAGATACAGTGCTCCCCCAGTCTGTGGACTGTTTTCCCTTGAATACAAGATGTCAAATTTATTGCTCAATTGTTTTGGTTTTGGCATTTGACAGTAGAAAACAGTTGGACCTCTTTCTCTTTAGAATAGCATTTCCTTTCAAAGGAAAGCCCATTCCCAACTGTGGCTTCCCCTTTAATCAACAGTTCCCATGTGTTTGGTCTTTCTCCCAGATGCCATCATCAAACTTGGGCAGTGATGACCCTTGTGATTAGCAGAGGTTACAGACATTTTCTAAAATCAGGAGGCAATCCTGTAGCTCTCCACTGAGTCTGTTTTGATGGCAAGTACTCTACGAGGGCTCAGCAAGTGGGAAAAGAATTGGCCAACAATGAAGTAAGCCTCCTGTCTGATTCTTCCCTGAAGCATGAAATATGGGTGACCACGTGCTCTTTAGGTCCCATAAAGAAGGAAAAGCTGAAGGCAAATCCACTGAATGCCCACCTGGGCATGGAGAAGAGCTCATCAGGGATCTCGGTGCCCAGGACTGTAGGAAGTTTCTGCTTGGCTCTCCAGGATAGGCCGCTGGAATTGGTCTTGGTGCGGTGCAAAATGGAGTTGCCTGCAAAGGTGAGTGGGTCTCCATTTCCCACATAGGGTTCACCTTCATACTTGTCAAAAAGTGAGTTTCCAAGCTACGTCCCAAAGAGGATGTTTCTAGAGTTGTTTTCTAGTGGATTTCTGCACTGAAGATCTTTCTAATTCTTAATGTCTTCCATATCCCCACTAGGAAATTGGAGGCTGCTACGATCTTTTGGTTTTCCTATAAAAAAGAAACTGGGGGCAAGCTAACTGCTAAGCGCAATCAGAGTGGAAGCATCTGGTTAACGTCGACTTGCTAGAGCCCTGTTTATCACAGGGAATTCCAGAGATGGTCAGAATGGGAATCATGAGAGTGTTTATTGAATATGCAGATTCCTGGCTCTCAGCCCTGACCTGAATTGGAATTTCCAAATTCCAGGCCCAGGAATCTGTGATTTAACGTACTTTCCGGGGGAGTTTGAAAGACCCTATAGCTTGAGAACTGTTTTCCTATGGGCTGAGTCTTCTTAGTAAATGGTGGAGATGGATGCTATGGAACATGGGGCCTGCATGTTGAAGCTTGGTGGTGGAGGCCTCGCCCCTTCCCCTCCAGCCAGCTGTAGGCAGAGAGAGCTGCCTCTCAGGTGGTATTCTAGAAACATTGCCAGGAGTTGTGTGGCTTTGGGCAGGTTTCTCAATCTTTCTGTGTCAGTTTTTTAACCTTTAAAACAGGCATAATAGTAGTGCCTGCTTCATAGAATTGTTGTGAGGACTAAATGTATAATATGCTTTAAATCCTCCCAACAGTGTCCGGCCCACAGGAAAAACTATGTACACATCCGTTGCTGCCGCTCCTATGTCTGATATAATTGTTATTCCAATCTCCACTGCCTAGGGTGTCTGTCCTCTAAAACCCAGGAATCATGGGTGATTTACCTGTTGGCCCTTGATCTGTTTTTGTAAATAAAGTTTTATTGGAACGCAGCCATGCTCATTCCTTTATGTTATCATCTACGGCTGCTCTCCTGCTGCAACAGTAGAGTTAAATGGTTGCCACAAGGACCACATGACCTACAAAGTTTAAAATACTTAGTCTTTGACACCCTTCAGAAAAAGCTTACCAACTCTTTCTCTAAACGCCTTTGAGCCCCTCTTAAATGTTGATCGCCCAAAGGAACAGCAAAGGCGGTTGTGTCAGAGGTTAACTGATAGTCTGATAGTCTGTTCAGGGCAAGCCCTGTGAGTGAAGCAGAAAGCAGCAAGTGGATGAAGTAGAGGGCAGAGGACATCCCTGAGAAGAGCCTGGAGGGATAGGACTTGGCCAGTCTCAAGAGGGTCCTGGCCTCAGCTTTTATGAGGCTGGAGCCTGCCTGACAACAAGAGAGGGCATTCCTTTCCCACCTGCCAATGGCTTCTCTCTTCCAATCTTCATACCACTTCCTCAACTGGTCAGTTTCTAAAATATCCTCACTGAGATCAAAGCAAACCACTACATCCAATAGCTTCAAAGAAAATGATATTTTACTGTATTTCATCCAGCATGATTAGTAAGTGCCCACCGTGTGCTAGACCCTGGGGCAGGTACAGAAAATAAAACCTGGCCCTGGCCCATGGAGTCCCTAATCTATCTTTGAACTGCAAAGCCATAAACTCTTCAAACCCAGGACTTAAGACTCCAGCCTTGCTCACTGGATACCCTGGGACATAAAGTGCCTAGGATTGCAAATCATTGGTAACTAATTAACACCCAGAGTCAAGATCATAAATGAAAATCACCTGGGGCAGGTTATGTTTGTTGAAGACCTATGATCCCATTAGTGGACGTTTGGCTGAGTAAGAAGTGTGCTGAGCACGGTGTTCTTCTTGCCTGTCTTTTGCCAGAAGGCAGTGTGCATGGACAGAAAGAGCTATATTTGCCCAAACTTTCCTCTGTCTCTTGCACCTGTGTTTTCCTTTGGTTATCTCACTGAATCCTTATACTAATCCCATTAAATAGGCACCACTACCCAATTTACATGAGGAAAGCAGGTGCTCAAAACCGCCCATCTGGTGAGCAGCAGAAGTGAGATTTAAATTCCTGTCCATCTGACTCCAAAGCTGTTGCTATAGTTTATCATTCAGGTAAATTTGGGAAGGAAGATAAAAGCGTATCAGGGGGCAGGGAAAGGTGGAGAGAATTCAACAGCCCCTCGACTGCCTGTTTGAAGAACTAAAGTCTGAGATTAAGCAGGAAGGTACCAAGGCAAGAGTGTTGCCCTTTTCTTTAGAAAACAAAACAGCAAAGTCCTAAACCCCTACTTCCTGGCTCCAGAAAGAACGATATCCATTCTTTCAATTACATTTAAGAACTAAAGGTCTCCTGGGTGTTCCTCCCATATACTTAGAGCCATTTATTCTCATGAAGTTGATGTTCATCAAGTCCGTCCCCAACCATTTTTTAATCATTAAGATAGTATTTGCTGACATAAGCCCTGTTAGGTGTTGGGCAAGTTCAGGTTCTTTTGAAGAACACTGGTGGCTTCCCGTTGGTTGGAGATCGTGGGAGATGGCTCTCTACACCCTCTTACAACCTCACGGTTTGTGGCTATAGTGGAAAGGAAGCCATCGCAGATCTCCTCAGCTGATTCGAGGTGAGCCTCTGGCTGTCATGCCTCCTATTTTATAGCTCAGGAAGCCCCACGTTCTGCCTCGGGAAATGCTTTTCTGACAGAAAGTGCTCTTCTGACCACAGGACTGGCCCATCTGGCTACACAGTAGGTTTGAGGTGGAGACAGGCAGGGCCTGGACCTTGAAGATTGCCCTGATACTGCAGACTCTCATACTTCTTGTGTGCAAGAGTAGGAGGGTGTATAAGTACATGCAGTATCATGCTGGGCAGGCAGGGCCCATAGTGCACACCTCTTTCCAGCCCACATTCAGTAACATGACATTGGTAGCTTGAAATTGACCACAGTGGAGGCCTTTACACCCTGGAAATCAGCAAACACTACATATAAGGGCTTGCTCCCTCTGAGAACTGATTGTTGAACATTTATCTGTGCACGACTGAGTATACCCTATTCTTTTCTTCCAGTATGAATACATTTTTCTAGTTCTTTACTATTAAAAAAAAAATACCACGATGAATATGTTATATGGTACTTTATATACATATGTGTGTATTTCTTTAGGGTATATACCTGGAAGTCGCCTTTTTAACTTATAAACTATGCACATTTCAATTTACAGGATAGCATCAGATGGCTGGTCTACTGGCAGTATGTAAGATTTCCTGTTCCCTCCCATTCTTGTTGACACTTGGTATGGCCAGCCTTCTTCATTTATGCCAATCTGAGTTTGAGGTAGCACTTCATTTGCATTTGAACTGACATTTTTTCTTTTTTATGTCCTTTGACAATCCCCTTAAAATATTCCCATAAAGTGTTTATTCATTCTTTATTGGCCTTAAATACTTTATGGTTATTTTATAGACTATTTTTATTTCTATTGTGAAATGGTTATTTTATCTGTTATACGAGCAGTTTTTGATGCTGTCAAGGAATGTTATTGCTGGTGTGCAGAAACGTTACTGATTTTATATGCTCATCTCAGCATTAACCTTTTTAAAACTTTCCCAGTCTGGGGAGCTTGAGATTTTATGTTAAACTTGATATCTGTCCTTAAAAGGGTCAATGACATTTTCTTTGGTTACTTTTTTTAATGCCACGGTATATATGGGAGGTCAAAGTTTCTAAGATGACAGCCAGGGCAAGGTCCAAAAAGCATTTATCACAAGGTGTCTTTGTCTTTGGCGAGTCTGTTCATTCGCAACAATGGTTTGGATGAAATTCACTTGTGTTCTCTCTTTCATCTTGTTTGTTGCCCACATAGCAGCTGTATCAGTAAGTAGAGTTCTGCTTTTCTGGATATTTAGAAATATTAATTCAAGTATATGTTACATATTTTCTGTATGTTCATTCTCTTCCAGATTAATCATCTCTCTAAAGGAAATGGTAAGAATCAACTGAAATGCATAGAGTGTTTTCTGAACTTTCTTTCGTTCATCAAGATTAATAACAATTTGTTTCCTACTTTTAACAGAACATGATGAAGAGTTTCATGAGCAGAAGGATATTTCAGAAATCAACTTAGGTGGGTTCAATTTTTGCCTTACTAATGCTTTGAAATACTTTTAAATCTTGTGCTACAATTGCTGTAAAGCTCTTACCTTCATGATAGAGTATTGGGTAACTTTAAGGGAGAAATATGTATTGGTACTTCATTAGAATTTGCAGTTTCTGAAAAATGGAAATGTGGAAAGAGAATGATGGTTAGAACAAATTTTCTAGAGGAACTAGTGAGTGTTCCATGGATCTAGAAATGCATCACATGATTTTTGTTTATAAAAATGTTGATTTTCGGGGCACCTGCGTGGCTCCGTGGGTTAAGCCTCTGCCTCGGCTCAGGTCATGATCTCAGGGTCCTGGGATCAAGCCCCACATTGGGCTCTCTGCTCATCAGGGAGCTGCTTCCCCCTCTCTCTGCCTGCCTCTCTGCCTGCTTGTGATTTGTCTCTCTCTCTCTATGTGTCAAATAAATTAAAAAAAAAAAAAGACTACTCAGAAAAAAAAACGTTGATTTTCCTGTTTCTATTTTGAAAAAAAAAAAAAAAAAGAAAAGTGGATGATTATTTCACTTGCTACATATACACATGCATATGTATGTATGTATACATGTGTAATATATGCTAAGGTTATATTTAGTGGAGGGAAGCCCTAGCCCCTCTACTGGTGCATCATATTCATTAACACCTGCTTGCTCAGGACTTAGGGAAGGTTGTAAATGTGTTTCCATTTCAATGTCTTGTCTACAAACATTTTTCTTGAAGAATTCCATCGATCTGCTCCATTACTGAGAGGAGAGAGAAGCTGGGTTATCATCTCTTTTCTCTCTCATCCTGTTTTCAAAATGAGGGAGAAGACTTTACATTCTGGGTATATTTGGTTAGGATTAGCAAGCTGCAAACATAGTCATGATCTTAAAAACCATATGGTCTACAAAAGCTTTATTATCAATTGCATGTTTATTTGTCAAATACTACCATAGAGTAAGGGCTGTTTTCATTCTGCAGGAAGGAAGGGATAGGAATATATACAAGGAATTGTAGTTGAGGTGATCTGCCTAGATGGCAGTGATGGGGCTCACTCCAGGTCTTCTGATTCAACTCAGTGCTATTGGAGGACTACAAAACTGAAAAAATCCATACCTAAGGGTAGAATTTCTTTGACTTTGTCCCATTTACAGGGAAGGCAGGCTCCATGATACATAATTGGAAAATCTTGAAATGGTTTTAAAGAAATAGTTTGGTAAGGTAAATGGGTGAATGGACCCCAAGTCTTCGGCCAGGCTTCAAATGATCTGTTTTTAGTGTCAGGCAATCAAGGCATATATGGATTTGAGAGGATCTGAGAGTTTAAAACTGGGTTGGGATTAGAATGAGAGTTTTCCTGATCTCATCCTTATTTGTCTAGACCAAGTAATTTTTTTTTTTTTTTTTTTACCTTAGAGCCATTGTTAATGCTTCTTCTGCGTTGTGACTCTAATGAAGAAATTTTACTATGTGGGTTTTTTTCTCTTTTTTAGGTCATTCCAATCCAGCTTCCACAATTCTTAGGGTTGGCCATATAGCCAGTTCCTATATCATAAAAACTGTTCAGGGAAAATCAAAGAGAGGGAATTGTTACCTTTTCCTCTTCTTCTCTCCATGCCTCACAATTTAGCCTCTAGCCAAGGACTGTGGCTTTCAGTCTTCATTTCAGTAAAAGCAATTCCCCCCTTCTAGATCCGGAGGCTCAGAACCTCTGAGTCTTATTTTCCTCTCAAGATACACGCCATCTATCAGCAAATGATATTAGATCTAACATCAAATTATATCATGGGTTGTGACTGCTCAGCACTTTCTCTTTTCCTGTTCCTTTCCAAGCCATCTGGTCTGGCCACGTCTGGCAACCTCGTAACTGGTCTTGCCTTTCTGCCCTCACCCCACGCAGGCTATGGCTCAGAGTAGGCAGAGCATTTCTTCTGGTAGGATTCAGGCCATGTCACTTCTCTTATCCAATCTTCCAGTCTTCCATCACTGGCCAGTGCTGACTGACATCTCTTCCAGTGCAGAACAAAGGCCCTAGAACCTTAATTCCCAAGGTGTGTTCCACAGGTCAGTTTCACCTGTACCACCCAAGAGTTTCCTAGAAATACAGAATCTTTGGTCTCATCTCAGCACCTTCATGTTGATGGACCCCAGCTGATTCCCTGTACATTAAAGTTTGAGATGAGCTGACCCTGATCTCACTTCTTACTGCTCTCTCCCCTCTTTACTTGGGCTCTCCAGCCACCCTGATCTCCTAGCTGTTCCTCTACAAAGGTGGTTCTCAGTGTGTCTCTCTCCCCTCCCCACTGGAAGCATCAGCATCACGGGAGACTGGTTAGAAGTGAAAATTCTTGGGCCCTGTCCCAGACTTGCTGACTTGAAAAACCCTGAAGGTGGGGGTCAGCAGTCTGGGTTTAACAAGCTCTCAGGAGATTCTTATGCTAAAGTTTGGAATGTTGCTCTAAGGCTTTCGGGCCTCATTTCTTTTCTCTTCCTCCTCCTCCACCCCTTCCCTCCTCCCCCTCCTCCCCTCTCCCCTCCTCCTCCTTCCCCTCCCTCTCCTCTTCCTCTTCTTCTTTTTTAGATTGTATTTATTTATTTGAGGAAGGGAGAGAGAGAAAAGACACAAAACAAGAGGGAGAGGGAGAAACAGACTCCCTACTGAGATGGATTCCTGGGCTCTGGGATCATGACCTGAGCCAAAGGCAGTCACTTAAAGGAATGAGCCCCCCAGGGGCCCCCTGCCTCATTTCTATTTGCTGTTGCCTTTGCCCTCCGTACTCTTCCTTTATTCCCCATTCCATCAGATTTCTGCTTCAATGCCACCTTCTCCAAGGAACTTCCCTGACCACCCTTTATAAAATATCAAACTCCCTAACTCTCACCACTTTTCTCCTTTACTGTTCTTTTTAAAATTATTATTGCTTGTTACACTATCTGCTACTTAACATTTATTTATTTGTCTCTCCTCCCTTTCCGGTCAAGAATGTCAACTCGTGAAGGCTTTGTTTTATTCTCTGCTATATCCCTAGTATGTAGACCGAAGTCTAGCACATAGTAGGAGCTTAATAAGTATATGCTGCCTGAGCAAACTGGTTAGTGATTCTCCTGAGTCTTCTTTTTAAAAAATTTTTATTCTTTAGGGGCACCTGGGTGGCTCAGTGGGTTAAAGCCTCTGCCTTCGGCTCAGGTCATGATCCTAGGGTCCTGGGATCGATCCCCGCGTTGGCCTCTCTGTTCAGCGGGGAGCCTGCTTCCTCCTCTCTCTCTGCCTGCCTCTTTGCCTACTTGTGATCTCTGTCTGTCAAATAAATAAATAAAATCCTAAAAGAAAATTCTTTTATTCTTTAGAAAGAGAGTGCATATGTACTCTTGCAGGTGAACTGGGGGGTGGGGTGGGCAGAGGGAGAGAGAGCAGGGTCCAGGGACAGGGGTTCTATCCCACAATTCTGAGATTATGACCCAAGCCGAAACAAGAGTCAGATGCCCAACTAACTGACTGAGCCACACAGGCACCCCTCCTGAGGCTTATTTTTAGCGGATATGTACTTCTTTAGGATGTGCTTCCCCCCCCACCAACTGCAGCACTCTCTTACCCTTCCATGACCCCATCTACACTGACCAACCTGGGGGCCAAGGTCTAAATGAGCTTGTTCACGGCACTCTAGAAGAGCCCAGCTATCACCTCCATTCCTAAACCAGGCCTGTGTCAGAAAATGCATGTTTGTTCATGGCAAGCCTGAGCCCGAGTATGGATAGACTAGTATGTATTACTCCTACTGAAAAGACAATTCAAAACCTGTGTCCTAATGCCCATGGGGCATTTGTTTTTGTTTAATTGTGCCATTTTCATGTACATAGGTGAGGTTTATGGAGCTTAAGAAATAAGGGCATGAGCAAAGGGATCATGATACCTTAATTAGTCATTAGCAAGGGAAACCATGATTTCTCCTAAGACCTAAAACCCCAATGATGTCATTTACCATGAATGAGCCATCAGCTTGGCCAAACGGTACCTCTGTTACCACGTGAGGCTGTGGTGATAATTCTTTAGCTAGATTTCCCCACTGTAAATCAGGTGCTGTTCTCAGAATTAAGTGCAATCCCCTGACCTTGTTTGAAGTACTTTGTGATTTACAGGGAAGGTTGTTTGTCAAACATGAGGGATGTCATAAAAAGAGACATTCTTTTAAATGCTCATAAATTTTTCCCACAAGGATCTTCCCTTTTAAGAATTCTATTTGCAAAACACTATGAGGCCAGAATCAAGGAATACCATAAGGGAGAAAGTTTATCATGCTAAGCTCCTGATAGCAGGTATCTGGAGATACAGTTTGAGTGGATCCATCCATATTTGCCTGGTCTTTATTGCAAGGGCATTATCTCGAACTTGGCTTTTAGAGGGTACCATTGTTTTTTCACGGGACAGGGCAAAACCAACCCATTTACTTAGAGTCACAAAGAAGGATGGAACGATAGCAGAAAGGGCACTGGATAGGAGGTCAGGAGTTCTCAAGCCCACTCAACTGCTGATGACCCCTTGCATTACTTCTTGTCTCAAGACTCCCTTGTGCCCCCCTAAAGTACAAGAGGTTTGGAGTCGATGATCAAAAAGATCCCTCCTAACTCACTTCTTACTTTTAAGATTCTTGGACAAGTTTTCTTATTCCAAAATGAAGACAGAGGATGTGGAAATACATGATATTGGTGGGCTATTTACATTTACTCAGAGGGAATTTAGCATTATTTGGAAAAGACGTTGACCAAAGATTAACAATGAAAAGTTTGGAAATGGAAAATATTAATTTTATTATGAGAAATGCATTTAGTAACACTCGTTCAAATATTTCTTTCTTTCTTTCTTTCTTTCTTTCTTTCTTTCTTTCTTTCTTTCTTTCTTTCTTTTTCAATCTGTGTCTAGCTGCGGGCTTGGACCTCTTTCAAGGAGATATCCTCCTGCAGGTGAGTATCTCCCAAGGACACAATTAATATGCCTCAGGACTGGCTGTTTTTTATGACTGGGAGGCTCTGCTGTGTCCAGCCCTGGGCTAGACACTGTGGAGGACAGGAAGGAACCTAATCTATCATCTGTGCCCACAAGGGCTTCCACTTTGGTTGATGATGACAAAAACAGATGGAAAATTAGCAAACAGTACAAAGAATCTATAATTATTACATTACTTGTTCACCCAATTTTCCTAGCAAGTGAAGAATGAGAGAAGGAAATGCACCAATATGTTTAAAGTGGCAATCTCAGTTTTTGGAGATGGCAGATCTTTGAAGTTTTGTTCTTAATGATTTCTCTGAAGTTTCCAAATTGTCTGTGATGAAGTTGTATTGTGGTACAATCAGAATACAAATGCTATTGTTTGAATTGTATGATAGGTTGTTTGTGGTGTGAAAGTTTAGCGAAGACAGAAGCCAAGGGGCTTAGAGGACTCACCTTCCCAGTCATCTTTGTCTTTTTCCACAGAACTCCAGAAATGGCCTGAGAGACCCTAGCACCAGGTGGAAGTTCCCCATTCCTTACATTCTGGCTGACAATCTGGGTAATATTAATTGTTTTAATTAGGAGTTTTGGGCTTTGCTCTTCTACCCCTGCACTCCTCCAGATCATAGGTTTCAGATTGGGAGTAACACCAATGCGTATGGGGGTTTCCAAGCCCTGATAATTCTTTATCCCATGGGATGAAAGGCATGACCTTATATTGACCCAGTGCTACTTAACGAGTCTGACATACAGCGCATCGGATAGTAATTTTAAAAGTTACAGAGTATCAAATAATAAGTTTAAAAGTACAGAACAGGGGCGCCTGGGTGGCTCAGGTCATGATCCCAGGGTCCTGGGATCGAGCCCCGCATCGGGCTCTCTGCTCAGCAGGAAGCCTGCTTCCTCCTCTTTCTCTCTGCCTGCCTCTCTGCCTACTTGTGATCTCTCTGTCAAGTAAATAAATAAAATCTTTTAAAAAATAAAATAAAATAAAATAAAAGTACAGAACACATTAATGTCTGAATAAAACCAAAAGCGCCCCCAAAGAACAAAAATGCAATGAAATATAATTTAGCTTCACAACCACGACAAGTTTACGCTTTAAGTAATTGTTTGGGTGAATCTATGTAGATTTTCAGCATCCTGATTTCATCCTCTTTTGTTAGTAGACAAACATTCCACACTTTTGAGAGCTAGAAAAATCTATATTTCCCATGCTAGGAGCCCTTGTTCCTCAGTATTAATAATTTCAATTCTTTTCTCTCTCACGATGAAGGACTGGTTAAGTCATAGTTCACTCATTGTTGGGAATAATACTCGGGAGAAATAAATGACTATTCAAAGCCATGCATGGACACTGGCTGATCCCAAGCTAGTGACTGACAGCTGGGCAGCCAGATGAGGCAATGCCCGAGAGGCCCATCTCACACGGATGCAGGAGAATCAGAGGAGAGGGGAAGCTGGGACAAGCTGGCTCCATCTTAATGCATTGCGAGGCTGTGCCCTCAGGAGGCACAGCTTATGTTTCAATATTTTCCATCACTGTTAGTAATGCTGGTCCCTTCTTTGGAGGACAGCTAGATATATACAAATGCTGTTGTTCTCTTTTGGAATCTTTTGGAATCTTTCGGAAATTTGAGGTTTTATTCCCATTCCCCAGGGTTGCCCACACCTTTGCCAATTCACAGAGCACCCATATTCACTGGAATGTGATTTAAGAAAGGTCAACTTTTGCGAGGGTACTTCCCCCACTACAATTTTTCTTCCTGCCTGTCGCACCTACGCCAGCACCCCCTTCCTTCAAGACATAGGCACGCCAGTATGTGCCGGACATTTGCCTTCACCTAATATTTGGTTGAAGCTTCACCAGGCTTCTGTGAGCCATTAGGTCTGTGCCTCTCAGACTTTTGTGTGCGTAAGCCTCCCCTGACGATCTTCTGAAACTGTGGAGTAGATCAGCGTCGGGGTCTCGGATTCTGGACAGTCCCCCAGGTGATGCTGATGCTTTCAGTCTGCTGGGCCCAACTTGAGTAGCAGGTGTCTTTAGCTGTACGCTGGTGACTGATGAAGAGAGAAAGATGGAAGACAGGTGGCCTGAAATAAGGTACCAACAGTAAGGACACAGTGGTGGTTCTCAGCACCACGTGAGAATCACCTTCAGTTTTAAAATAAGGGCAGATGCCCGGGTCTATACCATTGTAGAAAGCAGACATTGTAGAGTTTCATATTTGTATACAATTTTTAAATTAAAATTAAACTTACCCAGAGTAAAATACACAACTCAGTGTAAAAGTCAATGGCTTTCAATAAATGCACATACGTATGTGACCCAATCTCCCATCACTCCGGAAATTTCCATGTGATTGTTTCCAGCCAATCCCTACCCTCCTCTCCAAGACACTACCATTCTAATTTTTCTCCCTATCAATTAGTGTTACGTGATTTATAGATAAATAGAATCCTTCAGTGTTTACTCTTTTATATCTGGATTCTTTTGTGTAACATGTTTTTGATGTTTTTCCGTATCATTATAGACCAGTAGTTAATTTTTTTTTTTTAACTACTCAGTAATAGGGCAATTGTTCATCCATTTTTCAGTTGATGGATATTGGGTTGTGCCAAGTTACATATATATATATATATAATTATTATTTGTCTTGAGCAAATGTCTAGAAATAGAATTGCTTGATTATATGGCAAGTATATGTTTAACCTTAGTAAAAACTGCCAAGCAGTTTTCCAAAGTGGCTATACCATTTTTCACTCTCACAAGCAATGTAGCTATGTCCCATTTGCTCCACATTTTCAATAGCATAGGTGGAATTAATCTTTTTTAATTGTAGACATTCTGGTGGTTACAAAATGGAATTTCACTGTGATTTTAATTTGCATTTCCCTAATGACTAATGGTATTTCCCACATTTTCATGTGCTATTGGTCATTTGTGTATGTTCTTTTACGGAATGTCTGTTAAACTCTTATTATGCTTTTTTTATTGTATTGTTTGTCTTTTCATTATTTGTAGAAGAACTTCATATACGATGGATGAAGTCTTTTGTCAGAGATAGGTAGATAGATATCTTGAATAATTTCTCTCAGTCTGTGACTTTCCTTTTTGTTTGTTGTTTTGTTCTTGTTTTTTAGGCAGTGTATTTGTTTATTAATCTTTTCAAAGAAGTAACTTTTGACTTGCTAATTTTCCCTTTCTTCTCTCCTTTCTATTTGGTTGTTTTTTGTTTGTCTTTATTATTTCCTTTCTTTTTTTTTTTTTAAAGATTTTATTTTTATTTATTGGACAGAGAGAGAGATCACAAGTAGGCAGAGAAGAGGCAGGCAGAGAGAGGAGGAGGAAGCAGGCTACCTGCTGAGCAGAGAGCCCGATGCGGGGCTCGATCCCAGGACCCTGGGATCATGACCTGAGCCGAAGGCAGAGGCTTAACCCACTGAGCCACCCAGGCGCCCCTATTTCCTTTCTTCTACTTAATTCCAGTTTATTTTGCTCTTCTTTTTTGGATTAAAGGTGGAAATTTATATCACGGATTTTAAACTTTCATTTTTCTAATAAAATATGTTATAATATGGCATCTAAAGCTGTAAATTTTATTTGAAGTTCTGCTTTAACTGTTCTCCGCAAATTTTGATATGGTTGTATCTTCACTAAAGTTTATATATGTTCTAATACCTGTTGCATTTTTTTGAAATCCATGGGTCAATTAGAAGTGTATTTTTTTAAATTTACGAGTGTCTATAGAGCTCCTAGATATTGTATTATTGATTTCTAGTTTAATTTTGTTGAGGTCAGAGAACATATTCTATAAGATTTTGGTCTTTTGAAATTTACTGAGACATATTTTGTGGTCTATCTTTGTGACTGATCCATGTGTGCTGGAAAAGAACTTATATTTGGCTGGTGTGGGTGTGTTATTTTATCCAAGTCAAATAGGTCAAGGTGATTGTGTTTTTCAAATATTTTTATCTGCAAGGAGTTTTGGATAGTTTTATCTGCTACTGAGAGAGAATTGTTAATAACTATAATTGTGCGTTTATTTATTCCTTTAGCATTTTCGTGAAACTGATCTTTTGGACAAGTACATTACTCTATCATCTTGCTAAATTGACCTATTGTTTAGGGAAATTTCTCTTTATGTCTGGTAATCCTCTTTATTTTGAAGTCTACTGTGTCTAATTTAAATATAGCTACACCAGTTTTTCTTTTTTTTAAACTTACTGTTTTCACTGTGTATCTTTTTTAGTTTTTTATTCCTAACCTATCATTGTCTTTATATTTAAAATGTCTCTTTTTTAGGCAGTATATATCTGGGTCCCACATTTTTTTTTTTTTAAAGATTATTTATTTATTTATTTGACAGACAGAGATCACAAGTAGGCAGAGAGGCAGGCACAGAGAGAGGAGGAAGCAGGCTCATTGCTGAGCAGAGAGCCCGATGCGGGGCTGGATCCCAGGACTCTGGATCATGACCTGAGCCGAAGGCAGAGGCTTTAACCCACTGAGCCACTCAGGCGCCCCTGGGTCCCACATTTTTATCCAGTGTATCAACTTCTGAATTTCAATTGAAACATTTGGTCTATTTACTTTTTTTCAGTTTTTTTAAGTTTTAATTTTTAATTTTTTCTATTTTTTTTTAATATGAATTCAATTAATTAACATATAATGTACTATTTGTTTCAGGGGTACAGGTCTGTGATTCATCAGTCTTATATAATAGCCAGTGCTTATTACAGCACATACCCTCCCCAATGTCCATCACCCAGTTACCCCCATCCCCCCCACCCTCCTCCACTCCAGCAACCTTCAGTTTGTTTCCTAAGATTATGAGTTTCTTATGGTTTGTCTCCCTCTCTGGTTTCATCCTGTTTTACTTTTTCCTCTCTTCCCTTATTTATATTTAATGTAATAATTGATATAGTTTGTTTTAGAACTGTCAGTTATTATTTGTCTTCTATTTTTCTTTTATTTCTTCTTTTTCTGGCTTCTTTTGGTTAGATCCAACAATTTAATATTTCATTTGGTTCTTGTAGTGGCTTTTTAGCTCAATCCCTTTGTATTATTTTGAAAGGTTTTGCTGTAGGGATTACAATTTGTAACCTTAACATGTGACAGTGTACTTAGACTTAATATTATGCCATTTTGCATAAAATGTAAGCATTTTACACCACTATAATTCCATTTATAACCCTTTCTTTTGTACTATTGTTGGCTTATATTTTTCAACTATATATTTTATAAACCTCATAATAATGTTATCATTTTTTTGCTTTAATCAGTTGTCACTTAATGTGATTAATGAAGAAAAGTAGTCTTTATATTTACTTTTATACTTGGAATTTCTGGTGTTGTTCACTCTTCCTGGAGATTTAAGTTTCTATGTGGTGTCATTTCTCTTTAGCCTAAAGAACTTCCTTTAGCAATATATTTTTTTTTCTTTTTAAGTAGGCTACATAACCAGCATGGAGCCCAACATGGGGCTTGAACTCACAACCCTGAGATCAAGCCCTGAGCTAGATTAAGAGTTGGATGCTTAACTGACTGAGCCACCCAGATGCCCCTTCCTTTAGCATTTCTTATAGATTAAAACGGTTGGTGACAAATTCTCTTCTTTCTCCAAAATAACTTCTTTGTTGCCTTCATTTTGAAGGGCATTTTTTTTTTTTCCCCCCCCACTGGAAATAGAATTTAACAGGTATTTTCCTCTTCTTTAAAGTTTGTAATTATTGTCTTTTTCTTTTCCACATTTTATTATGAAAAATTTTAAATATATAAAACAACTGTGCAGTGAACACTCGTGTACTCATCAACCTACATTATACAAACATCATTCTGCTACATTTGCTCTATCTTATGGAACCATCCTGTCCATCCTTGTATCCTTCTATCAATACATTCTGTTCCTGACACATTTCAAAGTAAATTTCATGGACCAGTGTGCCTTATCCCAAACACTGCAGCATATGTATCTTTAACTAAAGTTTAATGTTTGTTTATGGTTCTTTTTAATGTAAAATATACATACAGTAAAATGCATGGAGTCTTAAATGTACAGTTCAATGAGCTTTAAAATATTTAGACACCTTATAATTTATACATTACACTTATATAATGTAAAAATATTCATACAACTCCTATTAAGATATGGAGCCCTTTTATTATCCCAGAAATTTCTCCCACCTTCTTTCATAGTACTTTCACCCTTCCAGAAATAACTTTTTCATTGTTTTAATCATAGGTGAGTTTTGCCTGTTTTAGAATTTCATATAAATAGAATCATTTTTTATTCCTTTTTTGATTATTCAGTAAAATGTTTTCGAGATTCACCAGTGTTGTGGAGATCAGTAATTTGTTCCTTCTTATTATTGAGTGGTATTCCATTGCTTGAATACAGAATATCACAGCGTGTTCAACTGATCCCCTAGTGATAGCCACTTGGGTTGATTCTGTGCTTGAGTTATTATGACTAAAGCTACTATGAACATTCCTGTACGTTCCCGTTTTGAATATATGTTTTTATGTCTCTGGTGTAAACATCTAAAGTGAAATTGCTGGGTTATAATATAGAGGTAGGTTTAGTGTTGGATCTCTTTCAAAGTGCTTGTACCATTTTACAAACTTCCATGAACGATGAATGAAAGTTCATTTACTACACATCTTTGCCAATATTCGTTGTTGTTAATCTTTTCAATTTTAGCCATGTTGGTGGACATGTAGTGGTATTTAATGATTGTTTTAGTTTACTTATTGTTGTTTCACTTTCTTTTTTGTTTGCTTATTGGTCATTTGTATGTCTTCCTTTGTGAAATACCGGTTTAAATAGTTTGACCATTAAAAAAATTTGTCTATTTTCCTTTGAGTTGTAGTTTTTTATATATTCTAGACACAAGTCTTTTGTCAGATTTGTATTTTGCAAATATTTTGCCCCAGTTACATTGTCTCTAGTCTTTTTTCTTAAACTTTTGTGACAATTAATCTGTCTTGGGTATAAATATTCATATTCTAGATGCCACAAAGAATAGGTAAAATTTCATAAAAGTCTTTCAGTAGGCCTAATGCATACTCTTGTTGTTACCCATGTTGTGTCCACAAGTCATTTACTGATCATTCTACTGATTTATTTAATGACCTTAGTATAATTCTATGACATCCGAACTATGGAATCGCCAATTTCATGGTTTATTAAATGAAATAAGGGCCAGGAAAAAATAAAGTAAGTACTTGGTAAACTGCCAAGAATTATAAACTCTTTGAGAGAGTGCACAAAACCAAACATACAACAAATACAATTTAACTTTATATAACTGAGCTTAAATTTCAACTTAGAGTTCCACCTTCAGTGAGTTGATGGGAGGGAAAAAAAACAAAACAAAACCACATACTAAGTGAAACGTAATCTCTGTTCCTCTGGAGTATCTTTCCTCCCACCCCACGCTTGTCTTGTGCAATGCCACGGCACGTGCATGTTAGGGGAAAGAAAAGACATTTGATCTTTGGTCACTGGTCCTAACCTACAGGTTACTGGTAAGCATCTACCCTTCTAGACACTTCAGATCCATTAGGCTTCTGCTGCTTTGGATCCAAGACTGAGTCATAAAAATCTTTTCCAAGGTTGTTTTCAGGGCTACCTGTGTAGTCTTGCCATCTCCCCAGGGGTCTCGCAGGGAAACAGGGTGACATTCCATCTGTGCTCCAGGTGCCTTCAGACCCCGTACACCTCTCTAATCTCTGCTCTCTTCCACCCGCAAGAGGGTGTATCTTTTTAGATTGGTGTACACCCATTCTCACTGCTTCTCTCTGGATGCTTTATTCACTCGGGAGAGAGAAATGGCTTGCAGTCCCTTCTGTCTTCTCTGTGGCTTAACTCTGCTGGGGCAGTGCCCTCAGGATCTCCCCTTGAGTTGGGAAGGGGAAGGGAAGAAATGAGGAAGTGAGTTCATAATTTTGTTCAGCTACACACACAAGTATATTCTTGCTTTGTTAGTATATTAACATTGTGTATTTAAAGGTCATAAATAATGTTTATATATGTGACTAGTTTTATAGTTTTAGTTTCCAAAGAATCTGCTTACTACCAAAAAATATATCCTGGACCTCTGTGGATTTCATGTGCTGGCAAGATTTTCTCCAACTATGTTATGTATATTATCTAAGATCTAAGTAATGCTCGTTGATATTTTTACTGATTTCTGCAGGGCTGAATGCCAAAGGAGCCATTCTTTATGCCTTTGAAATGTTCCGCCTCAAGTCCTGTGTGGATTTCAAGCCCTATGAAGGAGAAAGCTCATACATCATATTTCAGAAGTTTGAAGGGTAAGAATGAAATTTTACGAAGTGTGTAGTAGTCATACCTCTTTCTGTTTATAAAAGTGATACATGCCTTTCAAAAGAAGAAACTGGAAAGAAACTAAAAGCAAAATCAAATCTTTCTCTGTGAGTTTTTAAAGTCTGTAATGTTTTTAATGATCTAGATGGAGAATGAGGGTTTTTTTTTTTTTTTTTTTTTTGATACCTCTGGGTCTAGGAAGATTCATTTCAATTTTTTTCCTGGGTTTAGGTCATGTTTTAAATTATAGTACTTTTTCTTCTAAGTCAGGTGTATTAAAGTATAAATTATACAGTCTTTTTTATGGCACTTGTTTAAATTATGGTGCGTTGTTGGCTAGACCTCTTTGAAAAGCTCTAGATGTAGTGTGTAGTTATTTATTTCCCAGGAGAAATAAAGGGTATATCAAGAAAGAAGCTCTTTTTTTTTTCAGTGATATTTATGTCAACGAACCTGGGCTAGATGGGGTTGGGAAGCCAAGTGACCACCAGCTGTGACTGCAAATGTGTGTGTCTTTAAGGCCCACCTGGAGACATTTCCTCCTGCTGCAGTTCCCCACACTGCCTCTAGAAGTTGCCAGGATTTGGTTGTCTAGTTCTGTCAGCATTTTTGTTCATCATGGATGTATAACACAGAAGAGGAAGGAACTTAGCACATGATTTAGGCTCTTAAGAAAAAAAAATGCCAAAAATAGTAGTAACAAAGTTAAGTTGTGATCATCACTTAGATAAAGGTCAAGTACCTTTACTTACTTGAGTAATTGCTTTCTTGGCTCAGACTCTTATTACAAATGAAATTTTTGTACAGCTACAAAGTGCCAGGAAGTGTGCCCATCTCTGGACACAAAGAAGCAAGAGACGGTCTTAGACCTCACAAGGTTTAGAGCAGGCACTTGGGAGCGGTGGAGAAACAACGAGTAAATAGTTATACACAGTGAAGGGAGTGCATGGGCTGTAAGAGGACAGGGAGGCAGAGGAAAGGGAAGGACAGAATGGGGGATGGGAAGAGAGGGAGAGAAGAGAGAAGGGGAAGGAAGAAGAAGGAAGAAAAAGAGGAAGAGAGAGACAGAAGGGGAAAACAAACCTAGACACGAATCTGGCTTACTTGGAGAACTCATTCAGTTCTGAGTGTGTAAGAGGCAGAGGGGTGAGCCATGGAACCAGGATGATAACCAGGAGTCTGGTAAAAGACAAACCATGTGTGAGGGAATCCACCGTTTAGGGCATGACTCATTCGTTATATGTTCAGGTTTCCATTTTAGAAAGATTACTCTAGCAACAGTGGAAAAAGAATTGATGTATGGGCATGAGTGGTGGCAGGAGACCAATGAAAGAATGTCTCAGTTGTCCAGGACAGAAAGAAAAGGGGACCCACACAGATGAAGAGGCAGTCGAAATGAAGAGGAGTGAATGGATTTCAGAACTATGAAAACAGGGAGACTTCTCAAAAGCTGTCTGCCTGTCTACATGAGGGGTTAAGAAGAAAGAGGAATCAAAGAAATCTCTGATTTTTTGATTCAGTGATGGGCGAGTGGTAACTTTATTCACCGATTGGGAATGTTGCCAGGAGAACCACTTTAGGAGTAAGATAGTGAATATGTTTCTGGACATGTGCTGAGGTTCCTTTGGGTTACGTAAGTGAAGATAACCAACAGTATTTGCACAGTTTCTTTTTATGTGAAGAAAAAACATGTAAAGTATACCTTGGGCCTTGCCAAGTGCACTGATTTTAGAGGTTCTCTGTTTTTTACCTTTTCATCTTGTTCCTTGGCAACCTTTGTGCTTGTAGAAAGTACCAAAGCCTTTAATTATTTACTTAGGATTTCAGGGAAAAAAACCCTTCATTTTCTTAACATTTTTATTTCCATTTTTAGCTACCACTTTTTCTTTTCTTTTCTTTTTCTGTTAAAAATAAAATGAAGCTAATGAGATCACTCTCTAAAAGTTCTCTTTTTCCTAGTAAAATTCTCAGGGCTTCTTTTTAGTTTGTAACTCAATCCCCAAGTACTTGATGAAGGGGTAGGTCAGCTTTGAGGGACGTTGGCTGGAAACCCTGAGTCTGGGAGATTCTGACTGCCCGTGGCCAGGAGGTGTCTCTGTTATATGTAAGTTAGGAGAAGGGAAAGGGCAGGAAGATGGTCTGGGGCAATAAACTGCCCTAAACTGGTCCCAAACTCTTCAGGGCTAAGGTGCTGGAAATGGTAAGTTAACGGGGCTTTTTTAGAAAGACAAGGGAAAAGACTGAAAGCTGCAGAGTTGTGGCATTTTTGCAACTTACACGTTTCCTTTGGAGGAGGGATGCTTTTTATAAAAAGATAAATAGTAAGTGCTTTGTCTGGACTTTGGCTATCTCAGAGTCGACCGATTTGGTAATGAAATGCCACTGTCAGAGAGGCAAACTGATGGCTGTGATGTTTGCTTAGCTCAGTGAAGTTACAAAAGATCATTGATTGTATTCTTAAAATTGCTGAATTTCATGGTATGTAAATTACCCCTCAAAATATTGTTAGAAGATAATTAAGATATGCCTTTGAGTAAAAGTTAGATCCATTAGCATTTGAAGGCATATGATATTAATAATCTCTGGGAAAACTCAGGTAAGACAATGTGATTGTCACCAAAGAACTTGGAATCCATTGGTCACATTTAATGATTCTGTTGAGCACTGGTTTGAGAATGGATCCTCTTCCACAACTTAAAGCAGATGAGGAAACAGTTCGTGGGAAGCTTCAGATTTGCTTAATGGAGGAGGAAAGATGGATTCATGAAAAAAGACAAAAAAATAGTTAGGAAATAAAGGAGGCAAGAGGCTGCACTATGAAGAATGTGGAGAATCCGCCAGGAGCTCCTGAGTCTACTGTCTTCTGTGGGAAGTGATGGGGTCCTTCTGGCCCGAGCCTTTCAGAAATGATAGGTGGCCAGCTCTGTGCTTTCAGAGCGCCGTGCATCGGCTAATAGCCAAAGAAATGGACTTGCTTCTTTAATGAGGTTCTTTTTCATGATCATAAACCTTACACCTGTTCACTGTAGGTAATTTGGAAATTCATTTCAGTATAAAGGAGAAAATTTAAATCAACCATAGCCACCACCCAGAGACAACTTAATATTGTGGTACAAAACAATATGTTATTCTGTAGAACGCCCTTTGGGCTTGTGAAGGTGAGAAGGAATGCTAATTTTTACATCTTTCTGCTTGGTGCATTATTAGGATTGATTTGCCTCTGAGTATATTATTACTTCTATAATGGACCACCACTTTTTTTTTTTAAGAATTTATTTATTTATTTGACAGAGAGATCACAAGTAGGCAGAGAGGCAGGCAGAGAGAGAGGAGGAAGCAGGCTTCCTGCTGAGCAGAGAGCCCAGTGCAATGCTGGGCTTGATCCCAGGACCCTGAGATCATGACCTGAGCCGAAGGCAGAGGCTTTAACCCACTGAGCCACCCATGGACCCATGGACCACCACTTTAAAATTCTACTTATTATTCCCTTTAGGAAATGTTGTTCATTTAACCAGTCCCTTATTTTGAACTGTTAGCTTATGAGAATGGTATTGATAATTTCTTTTTCTAATCAAACCTAACTTCCTTCAATTTTGTGTTCTGGAACCCTATGAATTATAGCCACTTGAGAGTTCATGAGGAGAAAATTTCCCTCTTCTCTTCTTTAAAGGTGCTGGTCTGAGGTTGGTGATCATCACGTGGGACAGAACCTTTCCATTGGCCAGGGATGTGACTATAAGGCCATCATTGAGCACGAGATCCTCCATGCTTTGGGATTTTACCATGAGCAGTCAAGAACTGACCGAGATGACTATGTGAACATCTGGTGGGATGAAATTCTTCCAGGTGGGTAGAAACCCAAGGAACTTGGATGGGATTTGCTGTTACATTTATCACTTGCTGGGACCGACCCTGGGATGTCCGGACAGCATCTGTGTGTGGATAGAAGCCTCAGCTGGGAACACAGAATAGGAAAAGGGTATGATTTGTTGGCCTTTCCTGGGACCTGTGCTCATCTGATCATAACTGACCCCAGATAAGGGCCTTAGGGAATGGTATATGTTGGCTAACTCAATGTTAATTGGAAGTTGATCAGAAGCCTTTGCTTTGTTTCAGTGTTTTTGTTGAAAATCTACCTAAAATGCTATTTTCCTGTCGTAGTCACCTGACATCCCCTGAGGCTGTCATAGTCATTTTTCTGGATGTGAGGTCACATGTAGGCCTAGGAGTCTGCATGGAGTTTAGCTGAACATATGATCACCCTAATATATACTCAAGAACCTTTTCGGTGCTTTGCCAAATCAATGACAGGTGTTTAAAAACAAAATAAAACGACAACAAAAATGAATTCTTTTATCTGAAATTGTCACCCCGATTGTGTTCATGCTGACTGGTAGTCTGAGTTCTAGTTAACCAAAATTTGCCTGCCTTTCTTCCTCCTGTCTTCTTCCTTCCTCCTTTGTAAGTACCTCTATCCTTCTGTCTCCAGCCATATTATGCAAAGGATAACACAGTCTTATTTTATTTACTGTTATGCAGGGGTGTTATTCCAACAATTTCTATGTTCTTTAGCTTCTTTAGACTTCCTTGGACACCACTGTTCCTAGTTGTTTGAGACAAATAAGTAGATAGTTTTTGAGAATACTAAAACATTTCTTTTTGAAAGATTTTACTTATTTATTCGAGAGAGAGACAGAGGGAGAGCACATGAGTAGGGGGAGGCACAGAGGGAGAAACAGACTTCTGGATTTGCAGGGAGCCCAATGCCTTGAGGCTGATCCCAGGACCCTGAGATCATGACCTGAGCCCAAGGCAGACATTAAACCAACTGAGTCACCCAGGCACCCCCATCTCCCTCCTTTCTAAAGAGATTATTTAATATTTTCGTGGGGAAGGGAGAGTAAAACAATTTTATTGAACAGTTTCCCAATGTGCTAGAAAAAAAAAATCAATACTGTATTTCTGAAAACACCTAGATTTTAATTAGGAATTGGTTGAGGAAGTAGAAAAACATTCTTTTTGGTAGCAATAGATTAATAAAACCTTGACATATTAAAATGCCTTAACTATTACCATATGTGACATTCATGAGGCAAGGGATTATCTGTTTTATTAAGATTCCAATTTCATATATGGGTTCATATATAACAACACGTCTATAATAATTTTACTTTTAGGGACTCGTAAGATCTTGTCATACATTAAAATTAAATACAAATCCCCAAAGGACTTCTGTCAGAATAGCTCATTTTGAAGTATGGTGGATGAAAATCACTCAGGGGTTTCTTGATCCGGGTCCCTCGTGTTCTGATATGTCTACGAATGTGAAGTGGTGGGGAAAGGAGGAAAGCCGTATCATTTGTAAAAACCTAATACAACCAGGATTGAACCTCCACCCCCGCACACACTTTCACCCATCCTACCACCCAACACTGAGCTAGAGGTCAAGTAATATTCTTCTTACTTGAAATAATATATCAAATATAATGTAGTTGTCTCCTGGATGTAATTGTGTTATAACTGGGTCTATGCAGGTGGAGAAGGAGAGTGGGGTCATTGGTGATAGGACCTAATATCCCCTTGTAAGACTCAGGGCACTATTAGGTTTTGTCTCTATTTGCCTAGAGGCTTGGACTTCTTACCCTCCTGAACATAAACTTGGTTCTGCTGAGCATTAAGTAATGATGTAGAGAACATTCACACTTTTAAGCTTTGAAGAACACAATGATTAGTGCTTTTAGAATGATTTTCAGCCAAATGAGTTTCCTTTCTCAGAGGGAACCAGCACATTTGCCCAGGTAATTTTCAGACTTGCTCTGTTCTTGGTTGAGCATGAGTTACTCAACATATATTGCTTATCTCTTACCTATATTTTCATCAGGTATAATTCCATATATCTAAATTTCCTGCTATCACTGGAGAACTGTTCTCCAGTGAGATGTCAGATTATTAAGATGGTAAGCAAGGGCAATATTATTGCTCAGGGTAACTTAAAACGTCTACTGCATCTTGTCTTCTGTTGATGACAATATTACCCTTCAACCGAAGATGATACAGTGTTGGCAACGTAGTTCTCTCCCCAACTATATCTCCATCTCTTAAGCCAGAATTGTGTTTTTTGGATCTGTTCTCTTCAACCAAGGAAAGACTTCAATTTCTAGGGTCCAGCAAGAGTATGCAAACTACAGCCCATGGTCCATATTCACTTGCTTTTTGTAAATAAAGTTTCATGGGAACACAGCCATGCCCATGTATTTACATATTTCCATGGCTGCTTTTGTGCTACAGTGACAGAGTTGAGTAGCTTGACAGAGACCACATGACTTGCAAAGTCAAAAATATTTTCCTTTATACAAAGGATTTGCCGACTGGCCTCAGGTTTATAATGTCATTTCCTCTTCAAGGCTCTCAGCTTCGAGTTCCTGAAAACAGGACCTCGCCTGTCCTGTTGCTGCCAGGGGCCTCCACCACTGAGCATAGCTCCCAGTATGTAGACAGTAGGCACAGCAAAAAGGTGTTGCATAACATCTTAAAAAATTATTCAAAACATGTATTTGGTAAAGCTTTTGGATAAGAATCCTTGAATAATAAAGAATAAAAGGATCTATTCTAACCTGATGATTTTATTTATTTATTTATTAAAATGGAACGACCACTTTATTTTTTTATTTATTTATTTTTTTAAAAGATTTTATTTATTTATTTGACAGAGACAGATCACAAGTAGGCAGAGAGGCAGGCAGAGAGAGAGAGAGAGAGAGGGAAGCAGGCTCCCTGCTGCGCAGAGAGCCCAATGCGGGACTCGATTCCAGGACCCTGAGATCATGACCTGAGCCAAAGGCAGCAGCTTAACCCACTGAGCCACCCAGGTGACCCTAACCTGATGATTTTAGTGAAAGTTAAGGAAAAACTATCCAGTGAATTCGAATGTGCTGTTTTTAAGATCTCACCAGGAGTCACAAAGAGAGCCCAGACCAAGCCCCGGTCCTCACACTGGTCAGATATTCTTTACGGTTGTATCCTTTAGGGTAGGACAACCTAGGACCAAATGCTTCTCCCTTCCCTGTTTGGGTCATTTATTTATTACAGTCCTGTGCCACCTTTGAATATGCTTTGATCCCTTCCAAGGGTGGTCTCCATGAAATCCCATGATTTAGGAGGATGAAGCACTGGTATTCTCATTTTACAGCTAAAGTGTTGATCAACAGGGTTCTTTGGCTTTTCCAAAAGCATTTAGAGAATCCCTCTCTAGCACCTGCTGGCGTCCATTGTGTGGCTCATCTTCAGTCCCAAATGCACCTGCGTTGATGTCTTTCCATGGTGGTTACATGTTCTTCCCTTTAATTGTTACAAACAGCTGGATGGGAAGTTATAAAAGAAGACCCTGAAGATGGGAAGTTCATGATGGGGGAGTCAAAAGCATCTCACTAAGTTTTCCTGTCACTCCCTAAGAAGGAAATTAAAAATCTGTGAACTTCCCATTATTGCAACTGAAACAGTAAAGTCCTGATGGCTCATGGATTCAAAAAACATCTGACTGGTTTCTCATTTCAGCGTTCCACATGGCAGCATATATTACCTTGGGCTGATCCCCTAAAAGTATTTTCCTTTTCTATTTTGAAAGGAAAGTCGGTTTTATTCTTCTTATTTTATTTTTCTCTCTCCAAGAGGCTATTTCTGAAAAAGTGTGTGAACCTTAATTGCCAAGACACCCCTTTCTTGACAGCGGTTTCCCTTTCCCTCTGCCCCCTGGATTTCCTTTTTCTAACCCATGAAAGAGCTGGCCAGGTATAGCTCTTGGTGGATGAGGTACTTGCCTGTTAGCAAGATGTATCAATCCTGAGTATTTTCCTGAATCCAGAAATTCCTTTTCCTCTTGTTGGGAATACATACCTCCACTTTGACATTTTATCTTCTCTTCCTTAAAACCTTATACATATACCTACACACACATTTATTCATTTATTCATTTATTTGTTTATTTGTAAAATGAATCTTTGATTTAAATGTATACATATATTTGCTGTGGGTGGGATGTTGGATGAGCCCGGTGGTGGGTGTTACAGAGGACACGTATTGCATGGAGCACTGGGTGTGGTGCATAAACAATGAATTCTGGAACACTGAAAAGAAATTTAAAAAATAAATAAAAATTAAAAAAATATATATACATATATTTAATAATTTGTATGTAAAATTTATCCATTAATTATAACATGTCTTTCTATTTTTTAATATAGTTTTAATTTTTATAAGTGTATATACTATTATAGAATTTAGTATCATCATATTATTTGTTACTATTAATAATGTGTGTTAATTTCATGTACTTCATGCTAATTATAAAACATGTTAAATATGTATATATATTTAAATCAACTATTCATTCTTTTTCTCTTCTTTTCTTTCTTTTTTTGGGTCACTGGGTCTCTGCTTAAAATCTAGTTAAAGGGCAGGACAGAAGAAACAATGTAATTGAACGGGACCTGTGGCTTCTCTCTCTGTTAGGTTTTGAGCACAACTTTAACACCTATGATGACACCTTCATCACAGACCTCAATACGCCCTATGACTATGAGTCTTTGATGCACTATGAGCCTTTCTCATTTAACAAGAATGACAGTGCTCCTACCATCACGGCCAAGATCCCTGAGTTCAACACCATCATTGGGCAGCGTCTGGATTTCAGTGCCACTGATTTAGAGAGACTGAACCGAATGTACAATTGCAGTGAGTACCGCTGGGTCTGAGAAGTAGGTAAACAAACCTCAACAGAGTTTCCACCCAGCCCTTTAGTCTCCCCTACATTCCCTTTGCTGTTCCTTCCTGTTCTAGTTAAGGAAAATGGACAAACCACATAACCTTAGTTTATCTCTGGAGTAGAAAAAATTGTAACACCTGACTTGTTACAGGAGGGTTATGAAAATCAATTATGTGGTCGTATTTTACAAAGTAAAAGTATTGGACCGATGATGTAAGGGGCTATAATTGTCCAGCTTCTTCAGTGTCCTTATGAAGGGTGTATCCTTGTGTAAAGCTCAGGATAGGGGATGGTCTTGAAAGTATCTTTTATCCTGAAAAGTTCTTTACCCAAGTTAGTTGTTCTAGAGTCATCTAGTGCTCAGAGATGAGTTGTTTTCTAAAATGACCCTTTAGTCTTCAGAGACATATTTTTTTAAAAGATTTTATTTATTTATTTGACAGACAGAGATCACAAGCAGGCAGAGAGGCAGGCAGAGAGAGAGAGGAGGAAGCAAGCTCCCTACAGAGCAGAGAGCCCCATTCGGGGCTCAATCCCAGGACCCTGGGATTCTGACCTGAGCTGAAAGCAGAGGCTTTAACCCACTGAGCCACCCATGCACCCCCCAGGGACACATTTTTAAATTCTGTTCAGTATGCATGGACAGAAGACGTACTAAATACAAAGATCTACCAGGTACCCCCTTCTTGACCTAAAGGAGTTCTTGGTTGACATTTACAGCAAAGCACGACGACGGGCCTTTTTATCCTTTGACTCTGGGAGGTGGGTAGGGCCGCAGCTATGTTGGATGTTCTAAGATGTAATGGGTGACAGCAGGATTTGCATTAAGGAAAAGTCAAGAAAATGTGCAGTGTCTAAACAATGAGGTCTTTTTAGCTCAAGACATCAGGTCTGTGAAACAAGATGACTTAAATTTTTAACCAGGGGACAAAAATATCATTTGCAGCCACAACTCACACACTTTTGGACCACTGTGCTTTTGAGAAAGCAAACATCTGTGGGATGATTCAGGGTACCAGAGACGATGCTGACTGGGTCCATGAGGACGGCATTCAGTCCGGACAAGTGGATCACACCTTGGTGGGACAATGCAGAGGTGAGTGAAGGCGGTAATTAAGCACGCTGAGGTCGTTCACCAGGTTCAATTAGGGAATGACAACAGGCAGGTTTTGCCTCAAATGCAATGTTAGTTATCAAACCTGGAAATCCAGGCAAGCACAAAGAACATTTCTCATATCTTAATTATCAACTCAATAAAAAGTATGTAGTTTCTGGGCATGCAAAAGAAAGATGCCTTTAAGTGATGATAAAACTAGCATAGACATATGGTTGATAAGACATGGTTTTGTAAATAAAGGTAACGTCTCTAGAGCAGTACCCTACGATACAGCTATAAGGCAAGCCACATACGCAATGTGAAATTTCTAGGAGCCACATAAAAAAGAAACAAGAGAAATTCTTTTTAACCATACATTTTATTTAACCCAATATATTCAAAATATTAGCATTTTGACATGTAAGTAATAGTAAAGTTATTAATGAGCTACTCCACATTTTTTATACTCGGTATTATAGCACATGTCAGTTTGGACTGGCCACCATTCAAGGGCTCAGTGGCGACATATGTTGGGTAGTCCCCTATTGGATGGCATGGCTTCAGATAGTTCTTATGAGTGGTTTGTATAGTGGAAAGACCACAAAATCAGATGGACCTGGATTCGAAACCTGGCTCTACCCCTTGCTAATTCTAACCATGGGTAGTTGTTTTTGTTGGTGTCCTTTTTTAAGTCTTCACTTTTGAAAATCTCTCTAACTGGTCCAGGATATGATACCAGCAAAGATAGAAGAACCTAACTTATAGAAAACCTCCAGCTGCAGACCAGCAGCTTCCCTCTCCATTTTTTCCCATCTTCCCTTTCTGTCTAGAGGTTCCATTTATTTTTTTTATTTCTATTTTAACATCCTTTTATGGTGTGCCTGTCTCAGATATAATCTTGACCCTATAGATCATAATCAGTTTTTAAAGATTAGGCTGTTACAAAGTCCCTCAGTCTCTGCCCGTGTGAGTCAATTGGATTTCCTTCACAGAAGGGACCCAGCTGGTCACCCAGAAGCCATGCCACTGGGGTCAGAGGTCACAAACAATGGCTGCTCTTCCTCCGGTCATGGCAATGGGTGAAAGTCTATGCCACCCATCATATTATCAAATACATAATCTCCAGTGTCCAAAGGGTGATCTCAGTCTGAAGTTCCCTCTAAATTTCCATCATAGTATCTCATCCAATCTCTCCTGCGGACTTTTGCTAGTCTACTATACAATTTCCAGCTGAACAGAAGAGTGACCGTCCTATGAGGGAAACGTGTTAGAACAGTGTTCCAGCACCTTAATAGGAAAGGAAAGGACTACACCCCAGGAGAAATATCTAGAAAAGTTTTACCAGGTGAACCTGGGCAGCTAGAGACCACTGGTGGCGCTGTGGTAGATGTAGAGACTCAAAGAGCGTGAAGGATCCTTGGGATAGAAGCCACCTCCCATTTGAAACCAGGAGAGATGAATGGACACCTTTGAATTAGCGGCCCTGGGTGGGCAAGAATTCAGGTCTCCCAACACCCAAACCTGGGTTATTAGACTCTCATTTCCTATCCCTCAGTACACCCAGGTGGAATTCCTCAGAAAGGACCATCTGGAGACCTTAGCCATGTGAGCTAAGCCAGGCACTGGTTTTATTTAACCAAAGCACTCAGTAATTCACAATGCCGAGAGCTCAGGCTAGTAAGCTCAAGTACTGAGAATAACATGCAAGAAAGTATAATTTTTCCTAATATAATATTAAAGCCATTAGATATTTTTAAAGCTTTGTAGAGAGCCCATTCAAACAGTGATGCTTGTTGCCATCGTGGAAGGTACAATGCCCCACATATGAGGCAGGACGAAGTGGAGAGCCACAGGGCCAAAGTACCTAAAACTGTCTTAGGTGCTCACTTTGTTTTTACTTTATGAGATATTTTGAGTGGATACTTTGGTAAGAAGCTGAATTTTGGAGTACAACTTAAAGGACTTCTTTATACGCAAGAATCATTCTTTATGCTTTCTTGTGATGTGCCGATTTTCCAAATGATGTGTGCCTTTAGCTGCCTGCCATTTTGCGGGAAGAGAGCTCTAAGATATAGGAGTTGAGCAGACCTCAGGTTGGTTATAAACCCAGACACTTCTCACCCTCCTTTTCAGTGTTCTTTCAAAGCTTTCTTTATGTTCAGGACAAATCCTCAACTAGTCCCGTAATAAGCCTTGAATGCCCTTCTTACCTCATGGTAAAGATGACTTTGCCATCGATAATGCATCCAATTAAGGCTAGAAACGGGAGAGACAGAACCCTTATCATTGCAAATGTTTCAATTCCAGTCCGTAAACATAGGAATCCCATTGTCTTTCTACAGCTAGGAAATCGGCTCTTTTCCTTGGAATGGATCTCTAAACAGGAAAACAGATAAGGCAAATAGTATTCAGCTCAAAGACAACTAAATTCCATCAAGCTTTGCTTGAAGTCCATATCTCATTAAGTCAGAGGAGTACATTTCATGAGCTTGGGGACAAAGGCAATGGGGAGCTGGGGCTTTCACCAGGGAGTCTGTCCATGGAGGCAGGAAGAAGACACCCCACTTTCTTTTCATTTCTTTTAGTTTTCCCCAGAAGGGTTCTGGCTTTGTTGCCTGGGTAATGGCTGTTGCTCACTGATTCACTTTACGGGGGCCCGGGGTGCCCCGGGGTGGGGGCCACTGGATGGCTCACTGGGCTGCTCCTCCCCACAGGCGCGGGCTACTTCATGCACTTCAGCACCAGCTCGGGGATGGCAGAGGAGGCAGCCCTCCTAGAGTCCCGGATTCTTTACCCAAAGAGAAAGCAGCAGTGCCTGCAGTTTTTCTATAAAATGACGGGAAGCCCTTCAGATCGACTCGTCATCTGGGTCAAGAGGGATGACAGCACAGGCAAGGTTCGCAAGCTGGTGAAGTTGCAGACCTTCCAAGGTACCTGGAGACATTCGTGCAGGGCTGGTTTGGCTTAAGTCTGGAATCCTGCTCTGTCTTCTTCCCTTTCCCCTTCCTTTGCTCCCTTCCTCCCCTCTCTTTGTGCCTTCGTCTCCTCTTCCTCCTCCTGTCCCCCTTTTTCCTCCTTTTCTTCCAGCCCCCTCTTCCTTATCTAAGGGCCCACTATAATAACTGGTATGTTTTAAGCCCTCCGTGAATATTTTAAGCCCTCAGAAATCAGAAACCACATTGAAAATTTGGGCGAGGCTGAAATATATTTTTGAGAGAGGCCGACCAGAATATAGAAATCTGATTTCCACTACAGCTCTGCAGACAGCCAGGGCAGAGAAAATGGGCGATTCGGAGGTAGAGCTGGAAATAAAAGGGAAGCGGGAGATGGTGCTGCTAGAGAGAATGGTTTGGTAGTTGACAAGTGTTTCTTCACCTGTTTCATTTATTTATTTATTTATTTATTTATTTATTATTTTTTATTACGTTCAATTAGCCAACATCTAGTACCGTTATTTAATACACTGGACTAATGTGAAGCCTACTTGTGAAGTTGGAGGGAACCAGGATATGTGTAAATATTAACTTAATTATATTGTTTCTATATTCCTACGGTAATTTTATGTATCTCTACAAGAAGGTCAGCATGAAAACCTTAAAATACTAAGGGAGATAGTTGGATTTGAGGTTAATCTGGGTGTAAATCAAGATCCAGGGTTATAAAGATTCATTTTTACATTCTTTTGTGGTGGTGGGGTTCACTCACAACCAGAAGAGACACACATTCATCTCCATTCAATGAAGAAGTTCTCCATTAAAATGAGTCCCGAAGGGGCGCCTGAGTGGCTCAGTGGGTTAAAGCCTCTGCCTTCGGCTCAGGTCATGATCCCAGGGTCCTGGGATCGAGCCCTGCATCGGGTTCTCTGCTCAGCGGGGAGCCTGCTTCCTCCTCTCTCTCTCTCTTCCTGCCTCTCTGCCTACTTGTAATCTGTCTGTCAAATACATAAGTAAATCTTAAAATAAAATAAAATAAAATGAAATAAAATAAAATAAAACGAGTCCCAACAGACGAAGCATCATTTGAGTACTTCCAGAAGAAGCTGCTGCTCTTGAAGCCTGGAAGCTTCCTTAGAGGTCACTCCAGAGAACAGGTGTCTGAATCACTTCTACCCAGGCCCTCCGTAGGCTACCTGGGAGTGCAACAGATAATGGTTTGGAGGGTTCACTTTTCTGGCTGAGATGTACAGAGTCTCTCTATCAAATGGAGGGATGACAGCTAGGTGCTCTTCAAGAGTTGGGAATTTGCTATGTTACCAAGGATTGTACTTTTTTAATGAGACAATGAATTAAAATCTCAGTAACCCTGATGGGATCTATTATGGCTCACTTCTATATAGAGCTGACAATGTCAGCTTTGTAAGCACAGAATCAACCAAACAACCTTCTCATGCTTCACTTATTTCCTGACACTGCTCTGCTTTGAGTTCCATTGACTTCAAAGTGTGTCTCTGTTCAGAGTTTCCTAAGAGTGCCACATGAGTGGATTTCTAAAGTAGCTCATTCTGATCCTGACTTGTAAATGAAGCTTTTCTAAAATATTAGTTGAATATCATTTAATGTTTGTGTGGTATTCAACTTAAGATAGTTACAACTTTTTAAAATTTTAAATATATGGAAACTTTATTTCTTTATTTATACTTTTTCCAGGTTTTTATTTTTTATTTATTTCAATTTAAATTTTGTTAGTTATCATGCAGTGCAATGTTGGTTTCTGGAGTAGAATTCAGGGATTCATCACTTACATACAACACCCAGTGCTCATCACAAGTGCTGTCCTTAACGTTCATCATCCTTCTAGGCCCTCCCCCCCGCACCTGCCTCTATCAACCCTCAGTTTGTTCTCTATCATTAAGAGTCATTTATGGCTTGTTTTGAATAGCTCTTCACTTTCGCAAGTTATATTTTTTAACCGAAATACTTACATAAAAATGTGTCTACCTCTCTCCATGTATATACACATATCGATGTTTATGTGCGATCTTAAATGCAAAATGCTTGCATACAAATATGTGTATGTACGCACACATTTCTGCTTTTACTGAAGCTAGGATCCCCTTATAGGTGACAAATTGGAACAAACAAGGATGAGATTTGTGCCCCAAATAATCTTAGTACTACTTACCATCTGCCTGATTCAGCAGCTCTGTGGAAGCATGGAAAGGAAGCATTCTTAAAGACTTTATGGTTGAGTCTCTGCCTACATGGTAATGGGCCCTCGGGTCTTCCTTCTAGTACCATGTTCCCACATTTCAATCTCAAGGTGAAAATCCATATGAAGATGGTTTAACCCTGTTGAGTAAATAGTAAAAATCTTGTATGTCTGTCCCTATTCCAGACGTCCTACACCCATTACATCTCAGATCCATGCGTCCTCCATATGACTGCAGTCCTGTCCCCAGGAGATGGTACTTACATCTGTTTACAGGTTATAGATGTGGCCAATGTGCCCTCCCAAGCCCTCTCCTCTGTGTGCAGTTAACCTAATCACACAGGCCATAACCAGCTCCACTCCAGAAAACAGAATGTTAGTCCTGCCCCTTGAAGTCATCCTTAGAGAGAGTGACTGACAACAAAGGGAGATAAAGGCATTCTTCAGTCTGGTGAGAACAGAGCTCTGTACGTAGATTCCTGGTTATAACATACAGAAGGAGGAAAAATACTTCCGAAGCCCTCTGGCCAATTGCATTTCAGACTAAACTTCTGTAACACTCATCTGTTTAAATTCATCTGCTGAAATTCATTTTAGCCAACAGGATCCGCACTTAGGATCTAGCATTTTTCTTTTCCTTTCAGAGTCCAGGACTAAGGCACACTCTGTCTGACTGACAAAGTAGGGGGCAAATCCTTAACCAATTCTGAGTTGCTGTGGCATGGAGGTTTCCTCTGCCTAGACCTTCAAGCTCCTTTCTGGTTTCTTATGCTGAGCAACAGGAACTCATGTTCGAGAACAGCCTTCTCAACTTCTTACCTCGGGTCTTTATTCAAAATTCTCACTTCCAGCTCAGTCTTAGGAAAAAACAAAAAAACCCAGTAGACCTAATTTTCACTAGAATGTGACTATCTGGATAGTGGCAACTTTTTTTGTATTATTATTATTTTTTTTAAAGTATGGATCCCCTACTTGGTGGGATTTCAGATAATACAAAGAGAAAAATTTAGATGTTAGTGGATGAGTCGGTCTTGCGTAGGGGAGATCTAACTTGTCCTGTATGTGAATATTCACTCCAGAACATACCATATATTTCTCTGGCATCAAGTCATGGGTTGAACCATATGAAATCACCATTATTTGACTCTGAGCTTACAAAATGACTATTTTTATGATTCAGTCAATTACTTGGGTATTCAGTGCAAACATTAGGGGATGGGGTGCATTTATACTATGAAGCCCAGGGGGAAACACTGAACCTCTGGAATTGAATGATAATGGAAAACAAATTCTGATTAATATTTGAATATGAGGGGTGCCTGGGTGGCTCAGTCCTTGGGCGTTTGCCTTTGGCTCAATTCATGATCCCAGTGTCTCAGGATCGAGCCCCACATTGGGCTCCCTGCTCAATGGGAAGCCTGCTTTTCCTCTCCCACTTCCCCTGCTTGTGTTCCTGCTGCTTTTGCTGTCTCTCTGTCAAATAAATAAATAAAATCTTAAAACAAGATTTAAATATGAATATTAAAATAAACCATAGGGAAAAGTTTCTCAACCAGTTTGTAACAGTACCTGTCTCATAGGGATATTGTGAGGATTAAATTAGATACTTCATACAAAGCGGTTGGCATGCAGGGCGCCTGGGTGGCTCAGTCAGTTAGGTGTCCGACTCTTGATTTCAGCTTAGGTTATGATCTCATGGTCTTACTCAGTGCCGAGTGTGCTTGTCCCTCTCCCTCTGCTGCCCCTGCCCCAGCTCTCTCTCTCACTCTCTTTCTCTCTCACACAAATAAATAAATAAAATCTTTAAAGCACTCGGCATGCTAGCAGGCTTATAGGCCACACTTAAATGTTGAACACAGTTGTCACCAACCTTCTCTGTCCTCAGGAGATTTGGACCAAAATTGGAAAATTGCCCATGTGACGCTCAGAGAAGAAAGGAAGTTTCGCTACCTATTCCAGGGCACAAAAGGCGACCCCCAGAACTCGAATGGGGGAATTTACCTGGATGATGTCACTCTGACGGAAACCCCATGTCCTGCAGGCGTTTGGACCATACGGAATATCTCCCAGGTCCTTCAGAACACGGTTCCAGGGCAGAGGCTCTGGAGCCCTCGATTCTACAACTCAGAGGGATATGGTTTTGGGTTGACCTTATACCCCAATGGCAGACTGAACTCCAGTAGCCCTGGCTACTTAGGACTTACTTTTCACCTGTGCAGTGGGGAGAATGATGCCATCCTGGAGTGGCCAGTGGAAAACAGACAGGCGATAATGACCATCCTCGACCAGGAACCTGATGCTAGAAGTAGAATGTCCTCGAGCATGGTGTTCACTACCTCCAGGTCCCATACATCTTCAGGTAGGTGCTCTAAAATCTGCTGCTCACCAGAAAGGGCCAGTGGATGTGATTCCCGTGTGGATACAAGAGATGAACATTCCTCTTGCATTTCCTCCTTGGGTACGTCAGCAACATAGTCAAGTTGGAGTATTAGGTCACATTTTCAACGTTATCTTATCTCCCTTCTCTTTTCCAAATTCACTTATCAAGCATTTGTTAAGGGCTTTCACTCTGCCAAACTCAGTGCCAGTACCTAGAATATAAGCCAACCAGGCAGTTCCTGCTTCCTCGAATGCAGTCTACATGAGAAGACAGATACTGCTTGTCTCTTAGCAATTGCTCAGAATTTGCTAGCCTCCATGCAGAACTAATGCACTGACTCCTAAAATACCAGTGGTCATCAGTATGTTAATGGGATAAACGCATATCAAAAAGAAATGGGCACAGGGTATGTGCTATGGTGAGTGCTGTGAAATGTGTAAGCCTGATGGTTCACAGACCCATACTCCTGGGGCAAAGAATACATTATATATTAATAAAAATAATTTTAAAAAATTAAAAAAAAAAAGAAATGGGCAGATATTTAAATTTTTTACATGAAAAGTCTTAAGCCTTAAAAGGAAGAGCACTCATTGTCCCTTTGTCTTCACTGAGGAAGTAACTCGGTAATGGATAATTTGACCCTTCAGAGCTCTGGTTCTTTGCCCTTCCCCCCTTACCAATTCTCAGTTTTAATTATCCTGGAAAATATAAATAATCTGATATTTTTCCAACATATTTTTTTTCTAACAAAGCTTACCTACTCATTAAAGGGCAGTTGGAGAATGAAGTGTAAAGAGATAATGTGATGTTATGTTACTTATAACTTTGCAGCAATAAATGACTCCGTCATCTGGGACAGGCCATCCATTGTGGGAACCTACGATAAGGACTGTGATTGTTTTAGAAGCATCGACTGGGGCTGGAGTAATGTCATCTCCCACCAAATGCTAAAAAGGAAGAGTTTCCTTAAAAATGATGACCTTATACTTTTTGTGGACTTTGAAGGTACTTTTGCAGATCTTCCTGAAAAACTAATCCTATGTTCTGGGACTTCTACTGATTTTGCACCGATTTTTGAGCATCTCATGGACGGTGGGGAAATTTTTTTTTTTTTTTTGAGGACCAGGTTTAAAAAAAAAGATGACCTCTAGGAGAGCTATTGCTCAAGGACTCACATCTTTAACTGTCCTTGGGAGAAACTGAAACTTCAGTGTCATCTTTTTGATAATTTATCAAATATGATAGCTTGCTGACTTCAATTTAGTTTTGATCACTCTAGCTGTGATAGCTTTGTGCTTCCTTTTTCACGTTATAACAAATAAAAATGTGAATGGATCACTTTGAAAATAAAAATAGCTAGCATGAGAATCAGCTGGGTTCCAACCACCTTTCCATGTCACTGAAGGTGGCCTCCGTGAGGGATGGAGGTGGCCCAGGGAACTTTCTCCAGAAGTGAAAGTTAATCTAATCAGATGTTAATTGCCTTTCTTCCTCACCGCCCTTTGTCTATTTCCTCAAGATATCACCTACCTTAACCACACGGAGGTTCCAGCTCAAGGCACAAGGCTGTCTCCCCAAGGCCTTGTTCTCCAGGATCAGGAACATCAGGCCTCAGAAGAATATTCAGGAAAGGTCTTGTTAGAGAATGCGCTCCCCGGCAGCCTGCACCAGGGACAGCCTGACCGACAGAAGCGATCAGTGGAGAACACAGGCCCTCTGGAAGACCACAACTGGCCACAGTACTTCAGAGATCCCTGTGACCCGAACCCTTGCCAAAATGAAGGCATCTGTGTGAACGTGAAGGGGATGGCGAGCTGCAGGTAGGCTCTGTGGCCGGTGGGGAGGTAGTGAGTGGGTCAGCAGAGGTGAGCCAAACTTTTGCCTCACCTGGGAAAAGACACTGTTCGCAGGTTAGCGCAATGACTACATCAGAGGGTCACTTTGACCCCACAAAGCTGTGCTCTGAAGCAGCGGGCTTGTGCTGTCAGGGCATAGCCAGGGTCCTGCCAGGGCAGAGGGGTCCTAAATCACCCAACTCTTGGCTTTCATCCCTTGCCCACCTCTAGGACATGGTCAACAACATCTTGAATGTTGTTGGGATTTTGAACTCCCCTGCAGCGGTCACAAATGTTCCAGAGCTTTTAGCCCAGGAACGGCATGACCTGCCTCAGTGGAAATGAAGACCAAGCTTAAATCTTTACGACTGCCAGTGTTATTGTTAATTATGAGTAATTATTATTTCTATTGTCTATTTGTTCTGTTGCACTATGATTATAGTTATGTTTTCAATAATAGTAATACGAATATCTGATAGTTTTTGACAGCTTGCTATATAGGTCATGTACTTTCCTGATCAGTACACATGCATGATCCAAGTTATTCCTCACGACCACCCTGTGACATAAGGACCCTTGTTCTCCCCATTTGGCACATAAAGAAGTTGAAGCTTAGAGAGGCTAAATAATAAGACTAACATTTCCCAGATGGCAAATACCAGAGCTGAGACTTGCATCCATGTCTGTAGGTACAGTCTGCTAGATTTAATATTTCTTTTTATAATGTTTGTTGTTTGCATAAAATATTTCATAAAAGGATATACATGTTGAAAGCATCAGTTTCATGTGGCAAAATAACGGCAGAGGTAGCGACTGGCCTTCTTGGCTCAAAAGACCTATGTTTCTTCAGAGTCCTTTTCGATCTCCACTTTGTTTCTTCTCTTTTTTTTTTTTTTTTAAGATCTTATTTATTTGACAGACAGAGATCATAAGTAGGCAGAGAGGCAGGCAGAGAGAGAGGAGGAAGCAGGCTCCCTGCTGAGCAGAGAGCCCCATGTGGGGCTCTATCCCAGGACCCTGGGATCATGACCTGAGCCGAAGGCAGAGGCTTTAACCCATTAAGCCACCCAGGCGCCCCTGTTTCTTCTTTTTTAAGCTTTATGTTGAAATGATTTTAGATTTACAGGTACATTTGCAAAAACACTGCAGACCCTCCCATTCACAAATGTTCACATCTTACACAACCGTAGCAAAATTAGCAAAGCCGAGAAATGAGCATTAGTGCAACTAAATGCAATTATCAATAGCATTTGCTAAACCACAGACCTCATTCAGATCTCTCCACTCTTTTCACCAATGTCCTTTTTTTGTTCTGGGATCTAATTCAGGGTCCCTCCTTATATTCAGTTTAATGTCTCTTTAACCTCCTTCATGGTGGGACAACCCCTCAGTCTTCCCCCTCTTTCACTAACTTGACACTTTTGAAGAGTCCTGCTCAGTTATTTTGTAAATTGCTCCTCCATTTGGGTGTGTCTAATGTTTTCTCATGATTATATTGAGATCGTACATTTTTGGCAAGAAGAGCAAAGATGAGGTACACCCTTTCTTGGTGGGCCATATGAGGGGCACGTGATGTCCAAGGAGTTACGACTGGTGATTGTGACCTTGATTTCCAGGCCACGGGGTGTCTGTTCCTCACTCTGCTGTTAAGACATGTCTTCAGAGAGACATTCAGAGACCATGCAAGCATTCTGCTTTTTCTAGAATCCTCACCTGCTAATGTCATCGTCCATTGGTGGACCTGTTGCCACAATCGCCCTGAAATAGTCCAGGCGTGATTTTCCATCTCCCCCACTCCCTCTGTGTTCAGTAAGTGAAGTTCTGCTGGAAAGAATAAGGGTCCACTCCTCCCGATTCATTCATGCAACTCATTAGTTATATCACGAAGGGCACATAAATGTTTACTTTCTTCTCTGGGCCATAGTTCCATAATGCCAGTCTTGCCTTTGCTGCTCATGGCGTCCTGGCCTTGACCTTTGGGGGTTCTTCTAGATTGGCTCCTGTGCTATCTCAGCACCCGCTCCCTGTTTTGTGAACTGTCTTACTTTCTGGCACCACAGGATACTCTAGGCTTATCTTTTGTTTTCCATGTCCCAGGAATAGACCACTTTTCCAAAGAGTGCTGGTTTCTTTTATTGGAGAATGCCCTCGTTGTTTCGTGAGGGTTCCACAGCCGTGGGTCTGTGCTTCTCAGCTGATGGGGTCTTGGATACTAGATTTCCATCTGTGTCCCAGCTGGCTTTACCCTCAGAGTAAGGAAGGCTGTGGTTCCCACTTGTGTATCACCCTTTACTCAGCCAAATCATCCCTTTTCCATAAACCTGCAGTGTGCGGGATAAGCTCCTCTAAGGGAATCCTTGAGAATATCATTAAACTGTGTTTTGGAGGGGACTAGGCCAGAGAAATATTGAACAAACTTGTTATTATGAGCTGATTTTTTAAAAAAGATTTTATTGATTCTTTTGACAGAAAGAGAGAGCACATGCACAAGCTGGGGGGGGGCAGCAGAGGGATAGGGAGAAGCAGACCCCCCCACTGTGCAGGGGGCCCAATGCAGGAATTGATCCGAGGACCCTGGGATCAAGACCTGAGAGGAACACAGATGTTTAACTGACCAAGCCACCCAGAAGCCCCTATTACACACTGACTTTTAAGAAGCTGATGTCTAGGGACGCCTGGGTGGCTCAGTTGGTTGAGCAGCTGCCTTCGGCTCAGGTCATGATCCCGGTGTCCTGGGATCGAGTCCCACATCGGGCTCCTTGCTCTGCAGGGAGCCTGCTTCTCCCTCTGCCTCTGCCTGCCATTCTGTCTGCCTGTGCTCGCTCTCTCTCTCTCTCTCATAAATAAATAAAATCTTAAAAAAAAAAAAAAAAAAGAAGCTGATGTCTAGGCTAGTGATGAGGGAGGTAAAATAGTGCCAGAATGAGTAAAAGGAGTAGCTTTTTTACTTCTGTCACATTCGGCTCAGTGGTTAGACTTGTGATGAGAATGTTGTTTGAAGCAAAGGCTGCCATTGCCCCAGAAGCGAGGAAACATCACCCTCCATGCCTTGGGTCTGACATTAGTTGATCTCTCCACCGAATGACATTAAAACACAAACAAGCAAACCCAAGGTGTGGCTTCTGTGGGTCTGTGTACCAAACAGGGCAGGAGACAGTGTGCTCAGGATCTCACAGATTTCGGGGTGGCCTAGGAGATAGATGGCAGGATCCTCACCTTACAGCAACATTTTAATTGATACCATCTGGAAGTTCTCAAGCTCCAAATGATGCTCGGGGTCAGACTCTTATCTGGAGAATTTCCCTTGTAACTTTCAGTCCGAAGTGGTGGGGGCCACACGTTCTTTAAATGCCCCAAAACTTCCTCCTGAGCCTCGCACTCAGGCCAGGGCACCTGGTCTGGAGACAGGCTTCCAGAGATTAGACGTCAAGTGTGAAACGCTGAATAACCCTGTGACCTTGAGCACGTGATTTAACCTCTCTGCAAAATGAGGATATGACAAGGGTAATAAGCGCCCCCTCCTCGGGCTGTTGCAAGATTGAATTGACTCATACAAAGCCTTTGGAATGGGGCCAGGCATATGGGGCCACTGACTCCATGTCCCCTGCCACTGTGGCAGTTGGTGCTGGCCTCTACAGAGTGCTCGAGGCTCAGGTGTGTCCCACACTCCTCTTGTGTCCTGTCCCCCCAGGTGTGTCTCCAGTCATGCCTTCTTCTACACGGGGGAGCGCTGCCAAGCCATGCAAGTGCACGGCAGCGTCCTAGGCCTGCTGATCGGGGGCACGGCCGGCGTGATCTTCCTGACTTTCGCAATCATCTCCATGCTTTCCCAAAGGGCAAGGCAGTGACCTGCCTGCTGACCTCGGCCAGATCACAGAAGCACCTTCTCTACTCAGACCTTCCTTTCTGGGCCTCAGTGTAGACTGGGACGTTTTTCGTCAGCTCTGCTTTGAATAGGCCTCCAAGGACCGCGGCCTCCAGCCTCCTGTGTTATCATTCTGGTTATTCTGCCCACACTACCTCCTGCCCATCCTCACATGGTTCTGTTACCCTGCTCTGTGCTCCAAATGTAGCTCATGTGGCCTGGGACAGTCCTCATTACACTTCATTGTCAATCCCTTGTTTAATCGACCGTCTTTCCCACCGACTGTAAACTCCATGTGGGCGGGCCTGAATTTACCATGTTTGCTCTAATGCCCGGACATGTGCCTGGCTGGCCCATCGTGAGAACTCAAAAAAATGTGAATGAATGAACTGATAATGAATGAAGAACTAAGTTATAGAAACTCTCATTTTCACTGCAAATAAAATATATGTGATGAAACCTGCATGCTGTTTATATTAAAATTGAATACTTCTTTTTGCATCAGACACGATAGTATTCTTTTTTTTTTTTAAGATTTTATTTATTCATTTGACAGACAGAGATTGTAAGTAAGCAGAGAGGCAGGCAGAGAGAGAGAGGAGGAAGCAGGCTCCCTGCTGAGCAGAGAGCCCGATGCGGGGCTTGATCCCAGGACCCTGAGACCATGACCTGAGCAGAAAGCAGAGGCTTTAACCCACTGAGCCATGCAGGTGCCCCCATGATAGTATTCTTTAAGGGCTTATGTGTTAGAGGAAAGATTCCTACTTACAGCTGCACTTTCAGACATTTGATCTCCTTTTCCTCTGATTCTAAATATAGGTCTTCAAATATTTATAAATTCAATAAATATTTAGTCGGTACCTTCTGTGTGTCCAGCATTGTGTGTGTGTGTGTGTGTGTGTGTGTGTGTGTAGAGGGAGAGCTGTCCAAAGCTCTTCCTCAGATCTTTTTAAGTCTAAAGCATATTTTACATACTATTCATGTAGAAGATTATTTTATTAGCACACTGACAGGAGCTAGTAGAAGAAAGTTTCAAAGAAGTAGCTTTAGACACACTTTCTTTCCACAGTTCCTAAGGAGATAAAACTATTTGGGGCAAGAAGTTTCCAAGATAGATCAAGTCAAAGGAAATCTGGTCAGTACAAGCTCCACAGAGAGATGGCTCTGGATGTTTAATAAAAGAAAAGGTTTCGGGGTGCCTGGGTGGCTCAGTGGGTTAAGCCTCTGCCTTCAGCTCAGGTCATGATCTCAGGGTCCTGGAATCAAGCCCCGCATCGGGCTCTCTGCTCAGCAGGGAGCCTGCTTCCCTCTCCCCCTCTTCCTGCCTTTCTGGCTACTTGAGATCTCTCTCTGTGTCAAATAAATAAATAAAATCTTCTAAAAAAATAAATAAAAGAAAATGTTTCAAGGAGCCTGAGTAGCCCCAGCCTTAAGGGTACCAGCTTCCCAAGTACACACTTTATGGCCATTCTGGAAACAACATGATGGGTTAAAAAGACTGTTGCATGTGAAGGTGTGAGGAGATTTTGTAACAGGTGCAAACAGCACCCCTCGGGGCCCGACTCTCTGGCCTGAGGTCACCGGTATCCCCTGGAGGGCTGGTTGAGGGCACCACCTGCTCCAGTGGAAAATGGGTTTGGAAGTCAAGTAGGCCAGACAGGCACATCCAACCAACTGAGCAATTTTTGTAAAATCACATAAGCTCTTGGTCATAGTTCTCTAATCTGTCAAATGAAAGTAATAGCCACCTCCTCCCACCCCACTTTAACACGTCCGGAGTTGTAGAGTAATAAAATGGGGTAGTGGGTAAGAACATATTTTAGAGCATGCAAATGTTACTGTTCAATTTTCAGACTACACGAGACACTATCCAGGCCCCAGGCTAGACTTCTGTCTTCCAAGACCAAATTGAAAATAGACCAGTTTTTCTCCATGGGCCTCACAGCCTATAAGCCCACACTGTCTTCCCAGCTAGGCCTGGAGAAGGTTGTGGCCTCCACAATCTCGCACTGTCTCACTGTAGAAGGGAACTCCAGGCTCTGGGCTGTAAATACTATTGTTGTTTTCCTTAGTTTTATTAGAAAGAAATGTGCTCTGGGCTCTGCCTGACTTAGATGTGGTCTAGTTCAAAGGGAGAGCCCCCCCTTCCAAGCCAAAGACAACACTGCTTGTACACATGAGTTCTCTCTGGAAGCAGCAGAAGCTCAAATATCAAGGGTAATCTAGGATTTTGATCTAGTACTCTAAATTAAAACAGCAAGTCAAAACAATGATAAGAAGGTACCAGACTGAGGGCTAAATATTTTGCTATTTCTCTGCAGGTTCTCAGATCCAGCAACACACCCACTACCCACGTGCAACTCTGTTGATGACTGATGGGCATTTCTGTTGATTGATTGATTAAGAACCTATCACATCATAGATGGGACATCGCACTCAGCTTTTCTTTGAGCCTCAAGTTCTCAGTCATTCCAGGAGAATTAGCAGATACTTTTTTCTTTTGAGGTGTTGAGGTGGTGATGGAAAAGTAGACGTTCTTGTTGGGAGAGAGACAGAGAAATACCCATTACATCATCTCTAGGTATTGTGGTATTTGAGATTTAGATGAGTGACGTGAAAAAGCAAGAAATTTTCTCTGCATCTGGGTGCTTGTTTCCTGGGTCAACATAGTGGGTCAGCATAGTGGGAAGGAGTTAGAGTATTTGAAAGTCTGAAAAATGTCTCACAATCCTCCCCCAACCATACCTTCCTTCCCCCTTTCCTCCTCTGTCTTGTTTCCTTCTGTGAACTGGCCTGAGCCAATCTGGCCATTCTCTAATGTCAAGTTCTTTGGTACTATCTGGAGCCTGTGATAGTAGAAGTGGGTAAGACCCCTACCCTCTACCCCAAAGGCCACAGTGAACATTAACATATTTATTATCTATCAAGCCCCACAAAAGTCACCAAACCTATTTTGTAAATGTAGGACACTCTCTGCTCTGTGATTTTGCTTTCCAACAAACATCTTGGATTAAATGTTCACTCTAGTCACATGCAACCGAATAATCTGGCAGCCAGGAAGAGACAATCGGCTACCCCAGGGTCTCTCATCCTGGGCATTACTGACATTTTGAATGAGATATTCTTTTTCATGATCGCTGCGCTGTACCCTGTAGGATGTTAGCAGCATCCTGGCCTCTGTCCACGAGATGCCAGCAGTGCCACCTCCCTGATTACAAAAATTAAAAATGTCTCTAGATGTTGCCAAATGTCTCTGGGCGGGGGGAGTTAAGTCATCCTGGTTGAGAACCACCTGCCCAACTGGATTGGCCAATGGAATGTTCTAGCAAGTGAGGGAGGTGAGAACCAAATCGAGCTGTAATCCAAGATTCCACTCCAAAGTTAGTTCACTGGGCCTGCTGGCGTGCTGTACCTAGAGCTGTTTGAGAATCCCAGGTTACTAATGCAAAGATGGTTTCTAGCATCCTTTAAACTAAGGAAAACCCACTGCTGTGGTTTGGGATAGCAATATATGCTTTTTAAGATTTTATTTATTTATTTGAGAGAGAGAGAATGAGCGAGAATGAGAGCATGAGAGGAGAAGGCTCAGACGGAGAAGCAGACGCCCTGCAGAGCAGGGAGCCTGATGCGGGACTCGATCCCAGGACTCCATGAACATGACCTGAGCTGAAGGCAGTTGCTCAGCCAACTGAGCCACCCAGGCGTTCCCGGGATAGTAATGTTGAAAAGTTTTTACTTTGGATATTTCTGCCACACAGACTTTAATTTAGGGTGCCTCAGTACTAAGGACCGTGGGAACGTTGCCAACTCCTTCGACAAGCATCTAACCTCCTCCACCTCTGTGTTACGGTGGACCTGGATACCGTGTCCAGTGTAGTATACTGACGCATCTCTGCAAGCAAATTACAGCCAGTCGAACACTTTCTCTTTTCCAGCTCCTTCTTCCTGATGAATTACGTCATTCATCTCATGGCTTGAGGCAGACCTGGGGAAGTTCTAATCAGATATTTGAGTAAAGTGAGCATATTCTAGAGGGACTGAGTGCTTCAGTCAGCTCCAAAGTCCATTTAGATGGAGACTCTATTGTCCCCTTTTGGCTACCAGAGAGGTTTACTAAGACCAGTGAGTGGTTTGGGGGGTGGGACATCGAATGTGATGGGAAGATCTTTTTTGCTTGGTTTTCTTTATTACAAATATCATTTGTAATATCTAATTGGCCACCTACTCACATTTCCACGTATTTATGAATATGGCTAAAATGGCTTTCCCATGCTATTTATATAAACATAATATTTTTTTACCAAAATCTTCAAGCAAAATTAGTTTTCAAAGACAGGTATTGTGTTTAGCTATGAGTACTGTTCGCAAATGATCACAAACCCTAATGGGTGGGGGATGGGAGATGCTGGGACGGGATGGTAGCAATCTCTTATGAGTACTGATGCACAAGCAATGACAGAAGACAGGGAAATTCAAAGCAAAACCACAACGAGATAGCACCTCACACCTGTCAGAATGGCTAACATTAACAAGACAGGAAATGACAATTGCTGGCAAAGATGTGGAGAAATGGGAACCCTCTTACGCTGTTGGTGGGAATGCAAGCTGGTACAGCCACTCTGGAAAACAGTATGGAGGTTCCTCAAGATGTTAAAAATAGAGCTACCCTACCACCCAGCAATTGCACTTCTAGGTATTTATCCAAAGGATACAATCATAGTGATTCAAAGAGACACATGCAGTCCAATGTTTACAGCAGCAATGTCCACAGTAACCAAACTATGGAAAGAGCCCAGATGTCCTTTGATGGGTGAATGGATAAAGAAGATGTCTTATATACATACAATGAAGTACTACTCAGCCATCAAAAAGAACGAAATCTTACCATTTACGACAATGTGGGTGGAAATAGAGGGCATTATGCTAAGCAAAATAAGTCAATCAGAGAAAAACAGATATTATATGATTTCATTCATATGTGGAATTTAAGAAACAAAACAGATGAACATGGGGAAGGAAGGAAAAATAAAATAAGATGAAATC